AGGGACTTGCATTTCTAGGGACACAGTTTCTAGGGTCATGCAACTGCCCCAGAGAGCAAAGGTACTCAGCAGGCCCAGTGGTGGCAGGCAGAAATTCACTGCAGGAGGGGCAGGGTTTGGAGACAAGAAAGCCATATGAAAAAAAGTCAAAGCATGGGCCTGCTCAAAATTAGGGACAGGGAGAAGTGGGGTGGGGGTGAAAATGAAGGCTTACTTGAATTCCACAAGCTATATCAAATAGGCTACAACACCCACCGTCTTCCACACAGAAAGTATAAAGGCAGAGAACGGGAGGAGAAACAGGTAAAAAAGCTAACTGAAAACACTCAATAGTAAAAGTTAAAAATCAAAAACGGAAAAGAAAGAGACAAGAAATGAAAAGAAACTGGTTCTGAAAAAAGTAGGTGTTAGCCAAAGGGGCAGTCTGGGTTGGACACCAGATGCTCTATGCCCAGCTAAAAGCCGTGGAGAAGAACTGAGAAATGGGAAGCACACATCATACCTTATGTTGTCAGTGCAGAAGTTGAGGAGAAGCATGCCACATAAACACTGTACGTACTAAAAAAGTCTCAGAGCTTGAGGTGCCCATGTACCTGCAGTGAAGTGAGCATATGGACAAGCACTTGTAGGAGACTGGAATATTTTTTCTAAAATAGATGTACAGAAGTTGAGTCAGAAGTTATGGGCCTAACGCAAAAACCACATGGTGAAATACAATGGCCTCTGTTCTGAAGGTTAAGTGTGTACTAAACTAGATGAGCATAACTATATCTTCTTGCCTTAAAATCTGTTAAACTCATCTCATCTAGAAGCTACCAGACATCCATTTGACAGAAATAACTTTTAAATCTCTGCTGAGCTGGGTTGGGCTGGGTTAAAACTAGTGACCTATGGGTAAAAGATCTTGTAGACCATTAGTGATGCCCTAAGGCATCCAGTCCTCAGTAAGCAATAATGTTACACCTTCACAAATAAAGCTTACTTTCTGGAAAGATAAGTTTATTAATTCAAGTTCTGACCTTTATGGCATTGATGTGGACAGGATTGTCCACTTTCTGGACACACAAGCAAAATATTCAACACATTGCTTTGAGTCTCAAATACATCCTATAATAAAAGACCCCAACCACTTTCTACAGCTTCCATTAATTAGAATATACATAATACAAATGCAACACTACAGCAATTATTAACAGAATATCCAAATTAACTTCTAAATATGTTTGCAATTAAAATAATTATAATTATTTCAATTATAACTATAATTTCAATTATAACAATTACTCCAGGGTCCTTACACCTTTTCTGTATGCATGTGTGCACACAGACACACACACAGATATTTTACCTATCATGATCATTGTTTGAAGCCACATCTTTCATATCCAAACCACAGAGCTCTTTTACTCCAGCGATAAGAATATTCATATAACTGGGGAAGAGAAAGTGTTTTATCCTCTATAGAGAACAGTCCACAGAAAGATAAACCACACATCCGCTGATAGATAGGCTATGCATCTATCTGTGAGATTAAAGTGGACATCTGGATTCTTGATTCCACAAAGTATGGTCTGGGGGTTACAGATAACATATCCAAGTATAACACCACCCCTACTTGGACTGTTTGCAGGGGACTGAACCCAGGTCTTCATGAGTTTTTATCCAGAACTTTTGTGTCCTGAGACTCTCTTTACATTTTTCCATATACAGCTTGTGGTAAAATAAATCAATTGTATACAACGCTACTGCTGTCTCCATATTAATATCACCATCTATTCTCTAGTAGAGGCTGACAGTCATGCAGTTAACATGGTTTACTCAAGGACTTAGTTTTGCCTGCTATTTTCTTAATACAGGTTTCTAGTTCTAGGTCTGCCTCAGTTATATTACCTCAAAATGAATGACATCTTCCTACCTAAAGAGATGTATGAGGCATGATGTAATAAGAACCACTAAATAGCACAGAAACCACAAACTGCGCACATGAAATGTTAAAATGGGCCCTGCACTGCAAGTTTGCAATATGGAGTCAAAATTTACTACTTGGATTTCCTGGGTGCATCCAGATGCGCATGGACGTTTGGTTCCTCAGGGACAAATAGCGGTGAACTGTGCACCGCCACTTCTTGTCCCCAGAGAACACCTATGTCATGTGTGTTTTGGCATGTGGCAAGTTGCCCCAGGTGGGGTAAGGGAGGCTGGGGCCAGCACTGGGCTGGCCCCAGAAGCCTTACCTGGGGTCCCAGGCAGCTCCAGGGGTTGCAGCCATGGCAATTCTGTTGCACATAGTCTGGATGGCAGCACAGTGCAGCTCTGGGCGGGCCAGCTCCACTCTACAGCAGCAAGCACTGGCCGAGCATGCATTGCTCCAGGGGGGGTTTCCGGGGGGGGCTGGCCCCTGAATATCCAGAGGTCAACAGAGCCCATGGAAAAAAAA